TCATCTCTGGTCAAACCAGAGTCTGTCCTCGGCGTTCACGAGACGGTCTTGGAAGATGCGGCAACACTCGTGGAACCAAACCCTCAGCAGAGCACTAAGGTCCTATACACATGGGTTTTGTATTGAGGTTGAAGGAGTTACTGGCAATATGAAAGTATAAGTTGTCTATGCAAAATCTTCCTTACTACTTTTCCCCCACCTGTTACTACACCATAGACAGCTTTTTTTCTCCACTTTTCCCTATTCTAGACCCTATAATAACCCTTGTTTTACATGGCTTATACAGATGGTACTGTATAGTAGATTGGATATGCTAGTGTGTATAAACAGACCCTGATCTTGTTGACAGGGACCATGAGCATGCCCTGAAACACCTTCGAGAGATCTCTGAGGTTGAATGTATAGTGAGACTTGGCCGGAGTCGGCAGCAGCTCAGTAGTGATGGTGTTGTATATGGCAGTAGTGGAGTGGACCAGCTGAGGAATCTGAGCGTACCAGACATTATGCAGTCAGTCAACCAATAGCCAACCAACCATGCTGTAGTAAGCACAACACACACACACAAATGTCCAAATTTGTATACATATGTCATGCAGCGACAAGACGAAAATGCTTAGAAGGATAACAATTTCAAATGTCACTCTGGACATGGTGTGGCATTGCTTTCTGCTAAACTGACCAGAGTTTCAGCATTCTGAAAGGAGCCCAGCCAGGAGGCAACGATGGTGGAGAAGATGGTGAACTTCGACGAGTCCTCCAGTTCGGTGAATGAGATGTGGTTGAAGTGGCGGGAGAACCGTGGGGTGATGGGGTTTCTGCCACCTCCCGGTGGACCCATGGCTCCCACAAACATAATGTCAACCAGCTTACGGAAGGCACCTTTAGGAGTACACAAAGCAATACAGTTTGTCGAAACCCATGCAACTGTGTATGATACAACGTAGCTACGTACGTATGTAGCTACCGTGCCCATGCTTATGAACTCACATTACACAAAGCTATACACCAATGCAACTGCATATGAGAGGTCTACCAAAGCCCAATATAACCATCAAGGCTTACCAACTGACTTGCGGTCATACCAGCCCCTATGGTCCATCCACTGTCTGAGCAGTTCAATGGGAGGCTGGGCTCCAAACACCTCCAGTGCCGGCATGTTCATGTCATCAATGAACATGATGAACTTCTTGCCCAGTGGAGGACCAAACACTCCCTTTCGTCTGGCATCAACAGAATAAGAGAAAGTCAGAAACTGTGTCTAAACAGTAAAGCACTGTGTGTATCATAGACCTCAAACCAAGAAAGGAAAGGCTTAAGTTGTCACATTCATACTTTTGCCATGCACCACAACAACTCCAATGAAAAGACTGGACGCACACATGTACAACTGACAGAAGCTTTTATCCATGTGCTAAGTACAGTTGTATATACCTTTTGTCTAGCTTAGAGTCAATAATATCCTGAGTCTGATTGGCCGATGTTCTTGCCGAGAACGCGATGAGATGAGTCACAAATTCACTAGGCATGCCCTTCAGCAGCTTGTCTGCCGTCGTGAGAGTCTTGCCTGTGCCTGTTGGCCCCACACACAACACCTGGGGTGGAAAAAGAGAAAAATAGATAACACCAAACGATAGCAATGCGTTTTTTTATGGGCAAAGTGACCAGTTCAATGTCACGCATACATTGCAATATGTGTTGTCAGTCCACAGTTACAGATATGGAAAAATCCCGCATTCAGATGACAACGGAGGCTTGCTTCGCTCAACCAATAAAATGGAAGAGCTGGTAGTAAATAGGACTGGAGAGAGGGTCTGCGGGCTAGACTAGCGGACACTGACTACTTATAAGGGACTCACAGGTTTTGAGTTGGTGGCTAGAAGGTCAACCATGAAGTTAGACCTGATAGTGTCCATTGTGGGGACAATGATGTCAGAGAATCTGAGATGAGGGTCTATTGTGAACTCCTTCTGTCCCTCCAGCCACCCCTGCCACTTCACCTGTATATAATATGTAGCAGTGAAGCAAGCATTGTAAGAGCCAGAAGAACCGTTAAAAAAGCCAGTATTTGCAGTTGTTCATCGAGGTAACGTTCGCCACCAACACATTCTTATTACTGGCCCTAATGTAGGCTGTGCTTAGCTACTTTTTTCTAGAGCATAAAACTGAGGGATAGTCATCACACAAAGGATTCCCCACATGACTGTAAAAGTATTGCACACCATACAGGTATTACATAATTGTACCTTGAATGACTTTTTGACATCTTCTTCCTCATCATCCGACTTCCCCATACGACTTATGCCCCCATCGTCCAGACGATAATCATATACTAGCCCCTCACTTGGAAATGGAAGAGACACCTACGTATGGAGAACAGAACAACATAATAATTTTGCCTAAGGACACACTTGAAATAAGGACCAAGACCAGTCTTTGCTAAACTTGCTAAACCCCTGAAACAATCACGAAATATGAATACATTGTTTCCCCATTTGGTGTCAAGATTAGTACACCTTTAGTAAGAGAACATGTGAATGTTAAGAGAACCTTGTCTTCGGCAATCTTGTCCCTGAGGTAGCGATCAAATTTCTTCCTCGACAGGCCATCACAGCTGGCACCGACACTCCAGACCAAAGCAAACAGGAACCAGGGGTCGACGAGGTTTCCCAGAGCCTTCAGTTTTTCACTCGGAATGCTCTCTCCCTGTGTGAATGGAAGTAGAGATGGGTATAGGAATGAATTATGTACTAGAGGAATGCAACGCATTGTTGGCGAGTGAACGCGAGCAGTTCCATATTTTGCGCGTATTTAGAATCACGTATATATAGAACATTACGGTATGTGCAGTGCCCGACAGAGCCGTCACGTATAAATGAAATAGCATGGCTAAAAAATGTGTGGGTAGACTCTAAAGTTATAGTCAATTCCCTCTTCACTCTCTCCCAATAAGCTTTAACAATTTTGCATTTTTTGCAGGCATGTGAGTGGAAGGAGAGGAAAACCAACCATCCCTAATTCTTTGACTATAGTTGAAGTATGGAATAGAAAACTTTACCCCAGTACCTGCAACTGCTCAGGGCTGTAAAATTGGCATTCTTAATACATACGTACCTCCTTGGGTATGAATGGCCTGAAGAAGCAGTCAAGGATCTTTGTGAGGGAAAAGGTGAGGTTTCCATTTGTTGTCGGAACAATTTCCTTGAGAGAGCTTCTGACCACCTTTATGGAAGGCTGCATGAAAACACAACATACAGGCTGAACTGTAGAAAATCAGTACACGTATTTGCAAGCTGTAGCTACTCATGGATTCACGTGTACCTCCAAGTAGTTGGCAAAGAGTGTTTCAAGTCGTTCTCTGTGAGGTTTGATTGCATCGGGGATGGATTTGAGCCAGCAGCGTACAAACGGAGTGAGTCCAAGGATGCTAGGCTCTAAGTAAACCATTCCACATCTACTGACAGTGGCTGGCGACGCCACTGCCAAGTCCTGGACCTCAAACATTATAGTCATCACCTGTGTGGATGAAGTAACTACATTATATCTTTCCTTGGTTTCCGTTAATGAAACATCGCACATAAGCAAACTTTAATGCAGCATTATGAGTGGTTTGTTTCAAGTAAGAAACAACAGTATTGGCAAAGAATGTTTCTCTTGCAGGTGAGAAAAGTATTGGTGGCTAACCCATGCATCTCTTACTATGACAATATGTAGGTACACACATAATGAAAAATGTGGATATATAGGTTTTAGGTTTTGGGTGAGGTTCGAGAGGATGTATAATACCTCAGACATTTTGATGATTTCTCCACTGCTGAGGCAGAGTTTCTTGTTGTCGTCCAGCACAGTGTTCATGCTCTCGATCCACAGGGTGTCAACCGGCCCGTCGAACATGAACCACTTCTTGTCGGGAGTGTCGTTTGCCACACCCTGTCTGATGAGACAGGCTATTATACCATCAGTCCTAGAGAGTAAGAAGAAGGTTAGTGCTGCTATGTACACTTTGATCCGTAGACAACCCACTTATTGCTACATACTACAAGGCTATTCTCCACCCAAAAGAAGTATAGGCCAACAATCAGAGGTTTGTTGTAGCAGCTTATAGTAGGCAACTTACGTACTGTACGATTGGGAAAGAGATACTGCACATAGTAGGTCTTTTTACCATTCGTGAGTGAGAGGATCAAATTCTCCATACAGCTGTCCCATAGTGATGGCCTTTGGGTTGAGCACGTATGTACGAACAGTCTCAAAAGGCACTCCGCCGGGCGTTGTCTTTCCCTTGAGAGCCGAGAGAGCATCTTTGAGAACCTCGTAGCACTTTGTCTTCCCAGAGATTGTGGGTCCCACCAACATGAGCCCGTGGCGGACAACCGTCGTCTCGTAGAGTTGGATGCACTTGTTGATGAACCCCTGGACGTCTTCAAGGCCTTTACTGATGGTGCACTCTCTAATGCTCGTCTCAAGGTCCCCGTAATCAATTGGCTCCTGAGGTAATCGGTAATTATTAATAAAAATCTGTCATGTAAATCACAATAAGTGCGATAGACACGTGTGACAGAGAAATACATAGGAAGATATTGGATGCTAAAGAGTATTGCTACAATACTGTGGGGTTATATGATTTAGAAAGCAACTTCGAGAATAAATGACACTGGTGAAATTTCAGAACGAATTTTTTTTAAAGCGCTGGCGCAACTTCATTAAAAATTAAATGCACATTGGCATACATTGGCACACCTTCGAGAACGAATAAAAAAGCACTTCCACTTCGAGATTTATTGGAAAAAAACCACTCCACCGAGCATGTGGCCAACATGTCCAGTGAAGGGGGGGCACTCAGTATTGTCAAACAGAGAGTGGGTAAGGGGAGGAACTAGAGCTGATCCCAGGCAGTGCTCTAGACCACCTACCAGCTTCCAGCCCGGGATCGATCTCTCGACCACCGGAACCTTTATACTGGTAGTCCCCACTTCTACTGATTGCGCCACATGAGTGACCCGAAGGAAGCAGTTGAAATTTCGCCTTTATACCCATCATCCATCAGTGAGGTTGAAAAAAAGTAGTAGTTGCAGGGTTAGAACCCAAGTAGCTAGCAGAAAATCTGTGTTCCACTTGCAAGAGCTTTAGCCACTACACCATCACTAGCAACAGTGTTCTTGTGCATATGTACACTCGCCTCTTTGATTTTGGGGAAGAGATCTGAGACAATTCCATTGAAGAGTTTCAAGTCTTCTTGCAGGAACTTTGGCACGTTGGCATCTCGAATAGCTCTCAGCACAATCAGCTCCTAATGTTGCGTTTGACATTATCAGTAATCACCATAATTTCTCAGTGGTGATTGTGTGTGTATATCCTCATTCAGTGTTGGATGCTCTCTCTTTATGTTTCCAGCAGCCGAGATGACAGTTTTCACTGCTCGCATGCCGAAATCATAGTGATCCTAATAGTAATACATAGCCAATAGCCAACAAGTTATCAAGTGAGAAAACCAACTACACTATATGGTGTCCAGATAGTAATAGTTTGATGGTCACTTAATATTTTGGCATTTCTGAGTATCATGCAGCGTACAGGGATGAGCTCAATATTAGTGACAAAATACCAAATTTACCACTACTTAATACCTGACCTGCGAACTCAGTTGCTCTGAGGAAAGCTTGAAGGTAGTGACAATCTTCTTAGAGAGAAACTTTGCATCAGAGAATCCGAAAGAGAACAGCATGATCTCTGCAATCATGGCGTAGTCCGGAACCATCATGGCTACTGGTCGAAATAGAGCTTTGAGATTATCTGGAAGTTCGGTTCGTCCGGCGTAGCCTGGGTTCATGGTGATGAACACCGCACAGGAGGCTCGCAGAGCAATCTCCATCCCTTCAAACATGAATCTCGTGGCCTGCGATATTTGGAGAGAGCAGAAAGTAAAGGCTAAGGCTGGGTTCACAATACGTTGCATTGCCCTGTCGCACCGTGCTGCGGATAGAAATTAGATTCTACCCTTGCGACGCGGCTACGCGGCACGGCGCGACGGGGCAATGTAAACCTAGCCTAACACACCACTTTTATGTATTGTATTTGTGAATATTCAAGGAAGGCTCGTAATAATGATTAGCCGTAGCATTACTGCCACATGCCATAAGTTCAAAATAGTGACTTCAAGTAGCTACCACTACAGTTATCATGATATCATACCCTCTGTTGTTGCGCCAGTTGAATAGTAGTGATCTGCTGTGCTACCACTGACAACACCTCAATGTCAATGCGATTGAACTCATCAAAACATGCCCAGGCTCCAGCACTTGCCAGTCCCTTGAAGAACTTGCCCATGGCCATGAAATCAAGCTGGTCTGAACAGTTGAAGACGACACATTGGATTGCCATGGCCTTAGCTAAGTCCTGTGAGAGAACAGAAATCCCAGTGACAAGAGAGAACTAGAGTAATAGAAGAAAATGAAAAAAGCGACGGAGACAATAATTATTATGGAAAGAGGGACAGAAAGAGAAATGAGATGAAAGCAAGGAGATCGAAACACAGACAGTGGGAGGGGGAAAGAGCTTTTATCATAGTATAGTAGTATTTACAGTTAGTACACACAATATTAATGATCTACATGTTGTCCTTTACTTTAGTGGTCTCAGTCTTGCCGGTGCCAGCCGGTCCAGCTGGGGCTCCTCCAAACTTGAGATGGAGGGCTCCAGTTAGAGTTAGGTAGCATCTGTCAGTGAGAGGGGTGATGACCAGTCTCCCTGTGTTTCCCAGGTACTCGTAGCCATAGGTGAACTCCGCATTTACTGCTCTCATCAGCAGCTCATTCTCCCAGTAGTAGCTGCAGAGATTCAACACCTATGTACTGTGTGCCGAGTTCCTGATGTGTGCAGTGTAGCTATACTTTTCCTAGTGAGCCTGATGCGTTCAGTATACTATTGTTAGTGTGCCTATAGTGTGCTGGGCCGTGCAGCAGCACCTAGTACTTTGCCATGCTAGTTTGTGCCTAGCTAAGGGCCTATGTACCTAGCTAACTGCAGCGTATTCTCATAAGCTGACCGTAGTTGTGAGATCCACTCAAAGTCATTCACGTTCTTCACCTCCTCGTCCACCATCTTTGGCCACCACATCTCTGGCATGGACCTCAATCACAATGAGAGCTGAGAGGACCATTCTCCCCAGTTTGGTCAGCTTCCCTCTCACAAGACTCACCAGATCTGCCAACTGCAGGGAAAAGGTGAGGGTCTGGATAAACTCTGCTCTGGTTCACTCAGCTACCATAGTAGCAGCCCTGTTATGAGAGATTCAGCCCTGCCAGCTGAGTTGGTAGAGCCCTCTCTAGAACACAGAGTGCTCTGCCTTGCTCTGTATGAGTGATTCAGCCCAGCCAGCTGAGCTGCCTCAGTAGCTCAGTTGGTTTAGCTTTCTCTACAACTTGCCTAGCCCAACACAATTGTTTTGGTGTCCCTTCCTTCTTGCTGTCCCCCTCACCTGTGAGAGCAGGTTCTGGTAGAGATCAGGGAGGTGACCATCCTGAAGAGTGGAGGAGACTTCAGCAGTCCAGAAGGTCTGGCAGCCTGCAATCACCACCTGACCTGGCCACTTCAACACCCACTCCGTACGGGGGACCTGCAAGTAATCAGTCCCATACATACACTTTATAATGACTGAAAACAATACTCAACTTGAAATCGCCAATTTTTTTTATGCCCGCCAAAGATTTTAAGCCGCTTTTCAAAATTTTCAACCTTGCCCCCACTATTAATACAGTAGTATTGATACCTGAGGGTAGTCCTCCAGTGCCTCTTCAATGATGGCCTTGAGACTGTCTCTCATGACCCTCTCCACCTCCAGCAGCCAGTCCTCCACGTTGCCTGTTGGATAGAGAGTCTCACAGAACGGGACGTCTTCTCCTTCACCGCTGTACATTTTGGTTATGGCCAGATCTTCCTCAAACTTCAGCTGTATGATGAAGAGGTAAGAGAGCTATCGTCAATAGAGCTGCCCTGGGTGGGACAGGAAACTCGGCAGATTGCTCTTCCCACTGAGCTACAACTACCGCGTAACAGGCAGGGCTCAAGTTTAGTATGTGTAAGGCACACCACTGTACCAAAGCTACTATAAAAGTGATGCACTTAGAGCACATAGGACTTGCATGGTGACTTTCACGCTAGATATTGTATGCCATTTTTTTCATGGCATTTCACTTTGCTGAATGAGAACTAATACGTATGCAGTTGCTTATAAGAGGCCCAATTTTATGTGCAGAGAATTCAGCAGGTTCTGTGACCTTTGCAATGTTTTCAAAGCATTTCCTGAGGTGAGGCTGGACAGCAGTTGGGTCTTTGGTCTGCGACAGAATCTCCAGAAGCTCATCGTCCGAGAGGAAGTAGAACCTCTGGGAAGGAGGTTCGTTTCGTCTCCAGATACTCGCTGAGTCCCTTCTGGACCTGGTCCAGCAGTTTGTTGCACTCTCTGAGGTTCTCCAGCAGACGATTGTCGGCACAGAACGAGATCACCTGCAGTAAAACACACACTATGCACAAGAGTTTACTGCAAAGCAGGTCCAATGTTTCACAGGTCTGAAAGCTTTGAAGTTCATGCATACAGTTGCAGTTGATTTACTAGATGGTAGCTAAATTGATCTGTGGCCTATCTGAGATCTTTCCTTTGTGTTTGTTGTAAAGTGTTTCAAGTGTACTAATAAAGGAGAGACTGATGAAGGACCTTGGGGTCTTGGTGGGCATTGTTCATAGTCTTCTTCCAGATGCGGTCCATAGTCTGGTACCTCTTGCCCTCCACTGGGAGCTGCTGCATTATGTCATCGGAGGAGAAAATCGGCTCCAGGTACAGCCAGGACCTCTGACACACCGCCCACTCCTCCATCACATCCTGCAACAATGTTCATATGGAGAAAAATACAACCTCCATCAAGTGCATATCTGGTGAGTAGTAATTTAGTCCATAATGCTAACTTCTAAAAACCACTAAAATTTCATAGCTCTCCCACATTCGCTCTGTGTATAATGTTGGTGTTTCAAAGTTTGCGCAAGGTTCTTTGATTGCTACACATACGTGTTGGTTGATCTACGTAAATGTCCCACTAGTTAGTTTATGTTTGCGGGAATCTGTTGTGAACCTGAATAAGCCTCAGTTTAGTCTCCCATGAGCTGATTCTCTGCTCAAACGGCTTCTTGTAAGGCGAGAAAGACATGGCCTGGGCCATGACGATGTGGTCATCCAGCATCTGAGCTGTCTCGTCTCCGCTCTTCATGATGAATGTTCCAGTCTCTTTGTAGGCCACTATCTCCAGCAATATGGAGTCCCACTCGCCTTCCATCTTGTCCATTGCCTGTGGAGGTCAAAAATACAGTACATACAGTTCAGCTAGGTTGTTATCCCCCGATGAACGACAGTGACTACTCTTCTTAAGAAGAAGATGCCCAATCAACGCTGCAACAAAATTACCAAATTTCTGGCTTCTGTTAGCTACCCAGATTTGATTGCTTTGATTGCTCACAAATGACATTTCACACAAAGTGCACCGAAAAATCAGTATGCCGCACACGTTCTGGTAAAGACTCATAGCATTTAACAGTGGCTCAGTGAATTTACAGACCTGTTCAATGGAGAACTCTTTGCTTGCCACCTCAGCCACCTTTGCAATGGCATCGACGTGAGAGTCAAGCTTCATTTCCAGACACTTGCTGAAAGTGAGCGTGGCTTTTGGCTGAATGTTCATACCCAGCTCTTCACTCAGCTTCTGCCAATGCCTGAGAAACAATCACACAAGAATGACAGTTGAACTTCAGTACAGAATTGTGTAACTTAATACTGTCTTACACGTAAGTGTTAATAGGCAAGTTCCTATGCCAAGAGCATATTGAATGATGGGCTTTCCGTGCCGTATTCCTTTGTCTAGCATTACATTACTTTGAGCTCTGCTGTTACGTTAGCTCTGTAGGGTAAGAACGCTCAGTTTTGTCCTTGGTGTCAGTGATGTGCCTCATGATTCATGCCCAAAACATACAAAGTGCTATGCTGCCCAACCTGTTCCTCATTCCAGGATTCCTGAGGCCCTGGATGAGCGGAATAGACGGCCGAAACTCCTCGATCTGACCCTTGATCTCCTGTGCCACTGCTAGACACCCTGGGATGCTCTGAAAGTGTTTAACGCTCTTGTGCATTGTCTTGAAGGCACTGCTGACGTTGGTTCCCAGTAGTTCTGGGTCAATATTGACCAGAGAGTCGTTCATCCAGGTGTCGTGCCACTGGAGCCAGTTGGCCGTCATTATCCACAGGTTCTTGTAGGGCTCAAAGTCTCTCATCAATTTTCCCACCTTTGCAAAGAGAGTCATAGAGACAGTGAGAACAGACATGGACTTGCAAAATGTAGGTCTTGCCCGCTTGTTTAAATCGATTGTTCTACAGAAAAGCGCTAGGTCCCAGGCTTAATGAAGGCTCTCAAAGGGAACCTGATCATGATAGTCGTTGCAAATATCACATGCAACAAATAGGTTGATTATAATGGAATGATGGCTAGCTGAGAGGTATGATCTTCACCTTATCGTACTGGGTGACTGGTAGTTCAAAGAGCCTCTCTCGCTGGTTGTACAACGAGGCCTGCTGCTGACAGTCCTTCAGCTCCTTTGTCACTCGGCGTACTTCATTCGCTGTCTCTGCTGCCTTACCAATGTCCGTTCGACCAGAGAACCCAGCCACGACAAGCTGTAAGGTGTCAAGACGGTCTTCGAGTTGTTGCTGATCGTCCGAGAGCTTTTTGAGGAACTTTTGGTTGTCCTGCTCCATTTGCGTCTCTGTGCTGTCAATATGGTCTGTGATCTTGCCAGGCCATGCCAGAGTGTTCCAACTAGTAGAAAGAGGTTCGTTATAATTATTAGAACCTTCCTGTTGTTTATTATGAACCATGCAGGCTAGGCAAGATATCGCAACTAATAGGGAAAGGTTTCACTGTATATATATTCCCTCACTTCACATGAAAAAACATGTTTATAGCATACTAGCTAAAAGAATAATATGAGAGGAAAAGAAAGAACCTCGCACACAAAACACAGACACATGTGTACCATCTACAGGTATTTGACACACTTACCGATTTTCAAAGTCCTCATCTGAGAGTGTAAAGAAGTAGTCATCCAGAAGATCATAGTCTGCCATTACCTATAGTGCAACCAAATGCACGAAGAACAGATAAAAGGAAACACATAAGAGGTATATGTACATAAAGAAAGAAAGAGAAGAGAAAACAGAGGAAGTGAAGGGATGAAGATAGTACAACGTACCTGGTCGATACGAGATTGGTTGGCCTGGATGAGGTCAGGAACAGTTTTTACAAACTCTCTCTGTTCCGTGAGATCCTCAATACAGTTTGGCCTTTCATACAGTTTCTGGCTCAGCTCTCTGAACTGCTCTGATATCTGTGGCAATGCATTTGATACTCGATAGCAAGTTAAAATGCAAGGGCTATTCGTAAGGCATTTGTCAGATCCTCAATTCCTTGCTTTGAACTTTTGGGCCTGGTGCAGAGAATTATACTTGCTAAGAATGGTATACATCCCCTGTGCCTGATTGCTATGGTACTGACATTATCCGGGGGCACCTCATACATCAGACATACGTAGGAGGAAACCAGTGTGAAATTCATTCACAACTGACAGCCTTTTCACCTGTTCCGATTCCTTCCTCAACTGAAGCACCAGAAACTCCAGAAGAGCTTTGACTATCTCCTTATGCTTCTTGGCCAGAGCCAGTCTCACACTGTCCGTATTGATGTGAAATGGACCAATGTCCACCGACTGTGGCAATGACTTTTCCACCGTCTCTTTTCCCTTGAGGTGTTTCTCTATCTCAACCCTGACTAGAGTGCTGACTCTCTCAGCTGGCTTGTCCAGGGACTGGGGGTCTTCTTCTGTCGGGGAGGAGGCCGCTGCAAACCCACTGGAGAGAGAAAAGGAAAGAAGGAAGATTAGAGAATACACTTTAAACTAAATCAGCCGATAAGTAGTCTGAACGGAAATGTATTGCTCACATTCATTTTTAGGAAAAATAACCAACTACAGGCATTCAAGATTTAATCACCTTAAAACGGGATGAACCATGTATAACGCAAATATAGCTCAATTAGCCTTTGTAGAACAGAATAATTATGAAGTGCTTTGCTGTCATACGCATGCATCATGCAGTCTAGCACAGACCTGATATAAGTCTTAATGTCCAGATTCATGAGCTCCAGGTACTGGTCATACTGCCTGGCATACGCCAGCAGGGGGATGAGTGATTGTCTGGTTGCTGTCTCCACTCTACATCTAAGCCTGTCTATCTGAGGCTCGTGCTGTCCTACTGATTCCAGTAGTGGCGTTTCCGGCCAGAATATCTTGTCCACCACATACTACAAGAAAATATGGCTGAATTTCTTCACCTGCGTCTAGCTACATATGAATGCAATGTACAGTGTACTTGCTTGGGTGGCTGTTGTTACTGTTTAACTTGTAATTTTGCCAGCCTCCAAAGCTTTGCTTCTTTGCTATAGCAAATTTCAATCTGGCAGTCACAGTGCAAAGTATACTTAGAGCATGCGTATGTTTTTATGTGCAGCCACTCATAACAGTCTAACAAGACTCACACATTTCAGATTGACAGTGTACGTATGTTCGAACTTTTTACATATGTACCTTCTCAACCATAGGCACGGAATGAGTTGAGTTGATTCCTCGGTCGAATATTTTGACAAGGGTTGGCTGGAATGAAGGGAGAGACTGGGAGTAGTGAGAGCCTTCTGCATCCAGCACCAGGTCCAGGAAGAACAGTGTACCATTCAGTGGTCTGGAAAAGAGAGAGAGAAAGGGAGTACTGCATATGTGTATATATAGGAAAGTGTTTGTTTCTGGCTTATGTGCAGTATTTCTAGTCCAGTTTATACGAAAAGTTCAATGCTGGCAAAAGGTACCTAATTTCTAAGCCCTCTGTGAAGTATTATTCACATAGTTCATAGTGTTAGCATGTAGTTCATAGTGTTTCTTAAGTATTACCTGAAGGGTGATTCGGTAAGGGGGCAGGTCCAAGTGAAATCTGGTGGTAGCTGAAGTGTGGGGTGAGCTGCAGACTCTAGCATCACCACGTAGGCATCTAGTGAGCTCAGTACTAGAGACCGGAGGGCATCCTACGGTAAAGAAATCACCTTACACTATGCGGAGGTAAAACCTCATAGCACAAATCAACTACTGGTTAATCACTGCACTACTGTATATACCTCAGATGCTAGCACCCACAATTTTTAGTGATCTATGATGCTTGGGACTACTATAATGTACCTGCATAGCAAATTTGACCAGCTCCATCAGTTTCTTCAGCTTGGAGCCATTGTAAACCTCGAAGCTGGTTTCCTCCAGGTTAAACCAGCCTTTCGAGACGTGGGCCAGTGCAGTGTGGATTGACTCTCGCAGTTTCTGCACCCAAGTCTCCTTCAGGTAGGTCTGGACCTGTGGTTTTATGATGAGATTGGTGGGCCTTCGGTTTTTTCAACTACGTTTGCTTTTGCTTCTCCATAGTATGCTGGCATACATCTTGTGGACCCCAAGGAACATGTAGTTAAAAGTATATCATCTAAACTCTCGACTATTAATGGTCCTGTTGCTCACTGGAGCACTAAATTTGAACTTCCATCAGTTTTTTGAAAACAATTTCACACGATAGGGATTTTGGTTACTCACATGTAAAAACAAAGGTTCTTTTTCTGAAATATGCTAATGTTATTTTGCTATATAGATTGAGACCCTAAAAAGCAATGCTCCTCCAAAAGTAATAACTCACGTGGGACGTGGCCTGCAGCTGAGTCTGGTCGTATTCCTCCAGTCTGAGAGGCTTGCTGGCTCCCGTGTGGAAGAGTTTCTTCCCCGCCACCTTCCCGCACTCCACCCTCACCACCTCCAGCACGGAGAGAGCCTCCACGGACGACGTCAGCGACAGGAACTGGAGCCGGGAGCGAGTCTCGCGGAATTTCACAGCTGGTACGTCGGAATGGGTGGCTGTATTGGTGGAAGAAAGAAACGAGGGTTTAGTCACAGTGTTTGCATGATGACGCCATATTCCTGTCAGAGTTTGTATATTTACGGTGGCCAACTGGAGGAAACCAGACAATGAGCGAAGCGAACCCACTTTAGTTATCTGAATTGCCGCTGTACATTATTACAAAATCACTGAAGTTTTGTTCGCATACTAGTGTATGAACATGTAATGAAGCAAAGTAAAAGAGAAAGGATGTTTTCACCTCTGTCAGGGACAGGAACAACCACAGGGTCTGGAAGAGTTACGAATGGAAAGGTCTGTGGCTGGGCAGAGACCGTCCTGTCAAAGAGGATGCGGTTCATCGTCCTGGTGTGCTCTAATTGGATCTCTCTCTGGAGCTTCTTGGCATAGTGTACTAGTCTGGGGCGAGAGAATTTACATTCTTCAAAACCCAGCGCAATCTCCCGAAATCCATCTACATTTCACCCTGCTCGAGATCCCCTTATTAGAGCATTGCAAGGGATATAATGGTGTTATCGTTATTGATAGATGTGTGTACCTGTCATTCTTGGCATTGTGAGAAGCTCTGTTGGTGACTCTGGTCAGCTCTTCTTCACTCATACCCTCCATTCCCTCCACTGGCATACAGTCCACGTAGAGATGATAGCGAAGAAGTGCCTCTGTAGTTTGCCTGCGTATACATACGTTAACACATGAGCTACGTATGTATATACGGCGAGGTCCAGTTAGTGATTTAGCGATTTGGCCCATACAAACCGTGGTTAAGTTGGTTGGAAATCAAGCATAATTCGCTTCTGTGTGTGCTAAGTAGATAGATTCAGTGATTTTAAGTGCAAACGCTAAACTTCCAAAATTTCCGGTAATAGCATCAAACTGTAGTAGTGATCAATTATGGACATTAGCTACATAGACCTTTATATATGTAATGCAGCCCCATTAAACTAGTGATAGCGGCATATAATCATTCCCAAACCTGGCCTTGTGTGCTGAAGCTACTCTCTTGGCAAAGAGGACAGGGTCTTCTGCGGCAAACAGTAGCCTCACTCGAGGGATCCAGTAATGAATATCATCATCTTCTGTGTCCCTTCCACCACTTCCACCAGCCTGGAGTTATTAATAGGGTGGGGTCTCATAAGGGAAATATCTTATGCAAACACCAAAGATCTGGCATCACATCCTTCAACAGAATAGCGAGGGGCAGTTGATAGACATTTAGGCCACCTCATAAACTTTATGCCACCCAATGATATGTCCGTTCATGCTTGGAGTCAGATGGTTCGGATAAGGAAGGATAAACACTATACCTCTTTTCTCTCTGCGCCATCAGCTTTGGCTGTCTCTTCTGGTGCCTCTGCCTTTTGTTCCCCATCGCTAACCCCCCCTGCCCCTTCATCATCGTCCTCGTTGTCACGGCTCTTTCCACCTTCTTCTCGCCCAACTGCAGCGTTCCTCTCTAGTATATGGTCGGGTACACAGACCCTCTTCACGTGGTATAGCTTTGTGGCAGGGTCATAGTCCAGCATTCCTACATCTGTCCATTCATATCTGCACAGAGAAAATTTCATGAAAACTAACTGACTGTGAAGTGTGAAAGCCTGTTTCTCTTGAAGGCTTTGTACTAAATATTTCAATAGGCTGTTATGAACAGACCTTGGTTTGATGGGAGCAGAAGAAGGTCTACTCTGAATAGATGGCAACGGATTGCTCTTTGACCCTATACCTGCCTTGTACCGACCTTCATAGAGAGAGAAGTGAAATGTATGTAGGTCAGTGAAGTTCAAAACATGAACGGTACCAGTAATTTCATACGTGTGTTCCTGCTGAGGGTGTGAGAGGGAGGGAGGGTGGAGGGGGGACTGGGGGAGGGGGTGAGAGTTGGCTGGTCTAGAACAGGCAGCAGAGCTTTCCCAGGCACCGGCTTCTTTACTCCCTCATCACCTTCAACACCTGTGGACACGAGAGAGGGAGGTGATCCTACGATAGTGTAAATCAAAATCTCCAAACACACAACCAGTTGATGCACAAAGAGGTAATGTGTACGGTATCAAACCAAGTTAAAAGAGTATAAGTAATAATGTTCAATTTTGACCTAACCGTCCTTCTCAAAAGTATTAACCACAATTAAGAGGTAGTACAGTCAAAACTCTCTCTCTTATACCTTTCTTTTGCAATGCAATGTAGCCCCTAACTAATACGGAAACTTTTTCAGTGACATTGGAGAGCAGAGCAGAGGGATATCACACCCATGAGGGTTAGGGTGGTACAGCTGAATCCTCACTGCAACCTACATACCCAGTTCTTGCCACTCTTGAGGAGTTCTGGAGTCAAGCTCTGCGTCGTCAAACACCTCCAGAGGCAGGAACGAGGGGAACGTGGGCACAGGTCTCCCGTCATCCCCTCTCTGACCCAGCAGAGCTCGCGACGTCTTCTCTGTCACTGGCATCAGCTCACTGCTGTCTCCCACACCTAACATGTACGGCCATTTTTCCTGCTCAAACAGCTACAAATTAATTAGTAATGACTTACACAACTACGTTTCATACATACCCACTCAAAGCTCCACAATTCTTGTTCCCAGGCTGTATTTTAGGGTTAAGTTTATGATCGTGTCAGTCATAGTAAACTCATCGATTAGGCGATCCTAACAGTCGTACAGCCCCATACACGTAGCTAGCCAGAATACTTGCACTAAGTCTGATGCCAATATTTGTAAAACAACAGTGGAAATATGAAATAAAGGAGAGCACGAGGGAAAACTACTGTATAGCTGAACCATTTTGCATACTACACATCCTCCTAATAATTATAAAGAAACAAAGTGGTATATACAATCACTTACCGCTTTCCTGAAGAAGTTTGTGGAGGTTCCTGGCCTGTGTTGTGAACTGTCTCTTCCGTCGCTCAATCTCCAGTTTACGAGGAGTGCAGCCGCTGTCCACCTTGTAGGGTACTTGTATCTTTGGGTCCCACGCATGCTTAGCAAACTCCTATATATGCATCGCAAGGGATGGATAATTCGCATTGATAATGATACGTGTGTGTATTTTAGTTCTTGGAAAGAGAAAGATGTGCTTACATCACTGGCAATAATTTGAGTGGTGGGTCCATACACTTGAGAGCTCAGTAGTGACAGAAAATTATCCGGAGGATTGAATTTGGTCACTGGCAGACAGTCGAGACATAGTATACAAGAGATAGGTCAGAAAAATAAACAAGACGAGTCGCAAATTCTGCCCAGAGTAATCGGTGGTGATCATTGTGGCACAAAACCATCTTATAAACTTTCGGTCATTTTATGCAAAAGTAACGTGTGTAACTTTTGGTACTAATGGCCCTGGTCTAGTTTGCAACCACTCGATCATTCTTGGCAGAACCTTGCAATGCACAGAGGCAAGAAACGTTGCCTATCATGCAATGGACGTGTGCCAGTTTGTATATACCGCTGGGAAGATGCTTGTCTCTGTGAGATCTCCAGACCGTGCTCTGCAAGACTCGAGGCCCCACATTCACGTTCTAAAGAAAGAGAGATACGTGGGTGCAGACTGTCGCCTTATCGATGGCTTACCCCCGCACTCCTAGCTGCCGATTTGCTCACGACTTCGGAATAGTAGCCTCGTTGGCCTCTTCTCGACTTAGAGGCTCGCTCGAAGCCTCCTCCCTTGGAGTACGGCCGCGATTCAGGGCGACTCATGCGCCCGTTCTGCAGCCAAACAAAAACTGCAGACTTGGCGGTTTATTGCTAGGCAACGGCTATACAAAGGGGCGTGGCAAACCTTCTAAACACGCATGCGCAGTACAAACGGTTAGCATCAGCTATATAGCTAGCTGGAGCGGCGGGGCACCTATGTACGATCCTGCGCTGTCGCTTGTATATCACCAGTGTACGTTTCAAATCTGCGCATTGTCAGTAAAACGCTCGCAAACATTTACTTTGTACATGCGACCATTTCGACAACAAACTTCATATTGCACTGTAGCACTGCTATTGGCTGTAGTGTAAGAGTAAATAGCTAGCTAGTTATAGATATTGCAGTGTATTAGTAAGGTCTGAATGTCTAAGACAGTAGTGTATGATTCCACACGGAAGACCCGTGTCAATAGACCGAGAGGGTTCACCATTAGTGGCCAGCAGAATCGCAGACAATCAAGCACTGTTCCTGTTGTAACAGACGACGGTAGTGGAGTGCAGACTATTCATCCAACACTAAAGATCCTAACAGTGGCATCAGTAGTCAACAGTTGTCTCTTTCTCAATCTGCTGGCATTTGTCTGCGTTCTTCCAGCTATCTACTACACTTTCCACATTCCAGTAAGAGTTTCTCCTAACTGAAATAAAGAGATGCCACCTCTCTATCGAAGCTTTATATATGAAGTTCCCCCTATTAAAATTAGCTAATCCGTGTGTGACTTTGTTATGATCTGGTGCCAAGTAAGCTTCCCCTGGTCATGTATTAGCTGACTCATATTGTGTGTGTTCTGGATGCAGGATCTTAAAACCACACCGTCAAAGCCAAGAGAAGGCAGAATGCTAAATCGAGCGCGGAGGGCACTCGTTTGGAACTCTCTTTCTCTCCTGACATACATTCCTTATTCTGTAGTCGTCACATGTGCAATCTACTTCAATACAAACCACAAATAGCTAGTTCTTTTTGCAAACATTATGGTCGAACATTCCATGTATTTGTGTATATAGTATTAAGTTTTAAGTGTACGTGCACTTTTTAATGTGCCCTGAAAATGTGGACGATTTGCATAAAACACACTAATGATCAGCAAAGAGACAATGCAAAAAATCTGTACAAAAGTGTAAAATGGTGCATAAAAAGAACAAACGATCAAATGACAATAAGTTCTAAAGCGGAGGAAGACGAGGACGCCTTGCGGGAATTGGGGGCGGAGCTTCAGACGTTGGGGACACCACCCGCCTGGGAGCAGGTCTGTAGAGAAGTTAGTCTGTAATCTACTCAGTAAATCTACTCTGCAATCTCTATCAGCTCACTCGTAAAATACTCAGTAATCTAGTTGGTAATCCATAATGTGATCAGTAGTAACCTATACTTAGTAAAAGGTCAATTATAAGTAATCTTGTAATCTCGTCAGTAATCTACTCAGTAAATCTTTTCAGTACTCTACTCAGTAAATTAGTAATATGCCCAGTAAATCTACTCTGTAAATCTTAATTGCTTACGCAGGTCTTGAAAGAGGCAAACTTTGTGACGGGTTTTCCTCCTTTAGTGGCAATTTTGGCTTTTCCGTGCTATCTTCTTTTGGTGGTAACTTTGGTTTGTCCATATTGTCAACTTTCGGTGGCAGCTTTGGACTATTGTCCTTTGGTGGCAGCTTTGGCTTTTCTTTCTTGGCCCTGCCAGCGCCTGGGACATTTCCGCCATTTTGTACAGGAGACTGTGCGGAGAAATCAATGGCAGCGTAACTTCTTTGCTGGTCGTTGGGTTTTGCAACATCCAGTGGTTGGAGCTTCTTTTGGCTACGGGGGGCCGGTTGTGGCGCAAGGATATTTGAATCGGACATGCTGCTCTTGAAACTAGATGGGGTTGGTGGGAGTGGCTTGTTTTTCTTTTTGGCGCCGAAATCGCTTTCAAACTCTTTCTCTTTTTGCCCCCGCTGTGCCTCAAACACAACTGTGGAGTAGCTCCATTTTGTCCGAGAATCTGGAGGGATTATCTCTCGCTTGGGCGGGGATACTGGGGGTCAGCTGGAAGTCCCGTTTTGAAACTGTAGTTGGACATAACCTCTTCTCTGAGATGAAGGTGATGGGGTTTTCGGTCGAATTCGCCGTATCTCCTTCTCGGGGAGTTCAGGAGGGCCGTTTGTGTGGAACTTTGTTTTTTGACCACGGCGTACATTGCACCCCCGACGTTGATGTGCTCCAATCTTTCTCTCTCTTCTCCTGCTCCTTCTCGAATTCAGAACTTTGGTTGATAGAGCTGTGTCGACGGCGTGATTTCGCTTCTCGTATGCCGCGCGATGCGGAATCTCTTGGTTTTTCCCTCACAACCACGCCGGAACCAGTGCTACTCTTTCGTTGGGCGATATTCAGTTGGTTTTCTCTTGCAGCGGCGGCAGTGTCGAAATTTTGCAGGGGGATCGGTGGGGGTCCGTCCGTATCGTCACCATAGGGGGTCAGTTTATCTGGGATCGAAGATTGGTGGTGCATTCCTGCCATTGCCTTGTGCTTGTTGTACGGCATTGGAGGTTGTGGTACCGATTTCGAGGGTGACAGGGGAGGATGGTAACCAAACCCGGGAGGTTTGGTCGACTTTGTGTGGGTGACAGCGCTGATTGCAAATGTGGCGTTTTCGGGGAAGATCTGTTTCTGAGCCTGGGTGAGTTTGTAGAGAAAGTTGGATCCACTCACTCTGTTCATGGTTACTGCCTTTAGATGGAGGGAGGGAAGAATGGGAAGTACAGATGTGTAGTACAGCGTTACAATAGACAGTAGTATATACACAACCAGAGTGTTACAATAGACAGTAGTATATACACAACCAGAGTGTTACAATAGACAGTAGTATATACACAACCAGAGTGTTACAATAGACAGTAGTATATACACAACCAGAGTGTTACAATAGACAGTAGTATATACACAACCAGAGTATGTTACAATAGACAGTCGTATATATATATGTGGTGTTAGACGCTGTAGAAGCGAGGGACCTCCGTAAATCAGAAATCCCCTGAGTGTGCGCGAGCTGTGGTGTCTCCGACGCGCACGCGTGCAGGCTGACATTGCCGAGGTTTCTGAATTTACGTACGGTCCAATGAGCGTTCGCAGCGTCTAACTCTGTTAGTGCAGATGCATTAGGATCCGCGCGACAAGCTCTACGTTTCCATGGCAGAGTTTTCAAATTCAGCGACTCTGCGAAAACAAGTGTGACGCACCAAACAGTTCGGAAAGAGTGTGGTGTACTGAGCTGACTTGCTGCCCCGTCATCGACGCAGTAGATTTGCGGAGACTCAGCGAGGGCTACCTAGATGTCGACCTAGACGACCTATTGTGTATGCAGCCACGTGTGACGAGCACATTGTCAAGAAGAGGCAGTGCTCGCCGCGCCCACCTCAAATACAGTGCGCGAACGCGCATACATATGTCCGTATGCCGGGTGTATTCAACTTTTCATTCATGCAGCTCCCTATTATAACTTCTCCAAGTGAAACTGTTCATCTCCATTCACACCATCTGTTGTATTTATCTCCATGTCACTGTATACTTTGCTTACCCTAGCCAGAGAAGCAATGGGATGGTGAAATGCACGTGCATGTCCGCTACGTCTGGAGTTTGTTATTCATAAAAAGAAAATCAACATACAGTTTATTTTATCAACATTTTGTACAGATCATGTTTTGGGCGGATACTTTCTTACATGAACTGCTGTTGAACTGTGTAAAAATCAACAGAAAAACAAGGTTTCATATCATGTTTTTCATGTTACTTTTGTTAGCTCACGAGGTTCATATGAGAAATCAGGAACCTCGTACTAACAAATCTGATTGGTCGATTCGAATTAGCTATGCACTAAACACAACCAGAGTGTTACAATAGCTACAACCATGCTATAATTATGCACATGTAACAATAGACCATGTGATGCCAAGAGAAAAAAGATGCAGGAGCTCTGGACAGCTGTTTCGGGCTTGTTAGCCCTCATCAGCAAAGCATACCGCAACTTCTCTCTCTGGCATCACGAGTTTATAAAGGCAGAGTTGGTGTACATGTACATAGCTATTATGATTTTATGCAACTGCCCATCACCATTGTAAAGCTTATGCTAAATATGCTGGAATATGCTGGAAACATGTAAAGTGTTCTACAGGAACTTTCCCAGTGGGATTTTGCCAGACTTACACATGACATGGGTTCTACATGCATAATCATCATCTACACCACAGATGTCTTCTAAAGGATAGCATGTCTACACGAAGATCATCACGTCCCAACTCACCACTTGAATTCCATAGTTCCATTTTTGTAATGAGGACACATCAGGTGTGCAGATCTCATACGGAACCTGAGTCTGGTGATCCACGATCTTGAACCTTCGCTGGTGGCTCTTAGAGTCAGCCATGAACTCAAACTGAGTATCAGCTCCAATAGCTATCATTCCCTGCAAGATTAATAAAATTTGGTCCAATCTGTAAAATATCCCGTTCGCTATACATTATGACTTAGAGTGTGAAAGCAGTGTAGCACCTACAAAATCGCATAACAAAAGGAGGACCCACATACATATGTATACAGTGTCTCTGAATAAGGACACCGTAGGGCGAAGCGTCCTTTGTGTCCCCCCTATTCAGAGTGTGGGGGAGAACCACGTTTCTTTATAGAAGGCTGTCCCTAGCTTGTTCAGAGCATCCTTTTTCAGAGGTTTCACTGTAAGAGTGAGTTTTATCTAAGGTTCATAGCTACAAGTGTCCAGGAACACTAAAACTTAGTACACAGTGTAGTAGATTTAACTGGCACACATGTATATATACGTTAAAGCCATCTCCATCATGAATGCATAGTGAGAAGCGGACCTTCAAGACCATGTTTTCGTAGGACTCGTAGTAGGTGAGTAGCTTTGGTTGTAGTGTGAACCATCTCTCTTTCCAACTGGGGATCTTGTGACCTTTCTTTGTGAGCTTCCCGCAGAGCAAGATCTCGGAGAAAACTAACTCGTGGAGGCTCCTTATAATGTTTGGCTGAGAGAGAACGGGGAAGAGATAAAAGAGAGATAAGAGGGTGATAAGAGAGAGGAGAGAGAGAGGGAGAAAGAGAGGGAGAAAGAGAGGGAGAAAGAGAGGGAGAAAGAGAGGGAGAGAGAGAAATCAAAAGAGGTGTGGTATACACATCGTAATGTGTATATAAAATAGAACCCAAGTACACCTCTCTTTTTAAGGGACACTTGGTTCTTCCCCATACTAATACATTAGTGCTTCATACTACCTCTGTAAAGGTAACATCTGACACTTTCAATGTCCCCAAGTATCCCATGGTGAGAGGTTTCCCAAACTGTGTTGGTTGGTGTTAGTGAAGGAAAGATGCATTAGTAAAATCTTCATAGATGATGCTCATAGAAAATTTGACGAGTATTAACTATGGAAAGCAGAGAGGAGAGAGAGAGAGAGAGGGAGAGGGAGGAGAGGTGAGAAGGGAGAGAGGTGGAGGAGAGGGACAGGGAAAGGAGAGAGGGGGAGGGAAGGAGGTGGTGGTGCTCGTTGAAATTCACGATGCACATGCTATGGGTGGCGTATCCCCACACACCAGTTGGAATGCCGGATACAATTTAAACTGCGCAGTAAGGAGGTTGAAAGATAAACACAGTCATTATCTATACTTCATGAATACCAGCTTCCGTTGGTATTCATGACATGGGCCTGACACGTGACATGGGCAAACAAAGTGATATATTATTAACCCTCGGCGCGCATGTGCAGCGAGGGTTACAGTAGTACCTCGGCGCGCATGCGCACGAGGGTACTGTGTGGTCTGTCTGTCCGTCCGTCCGTCCGTGTGTCTGTTACTCTCAATCTCACTTCTCGAGTGTCTGTTCGTCTCACAAAGGAGTACGACATACCTAACGGCAATGAGGTCAGAAATTTCGAACAGTTTTCTCTGAAACTGCTCTGTTGCAGTGCTAGAGCGCTTCCGCCATTGTACGGCTAGTGCTAGTCGTCCATTTTATGTCGCTGTGGAAAAGGCGCATGCCCTTGAACAGGCTCGGGTCCGCTTGCTCGTGTGTATCTTGAAGCACGAGACAGTCACAACGAAGGGCTGTATCGACTCCCACATGCTCTCTACTACTGTAGCTAGCCCGTGTCAGCGCGGAGACCACGAGAATACTACATTGTAATAGCAGCCCAAAGCCCATCAATTAGCGTACCGTCGCATGCCCATTTCGCCGAGGTTTGCACTTTAGTGCTTTTCATTGGTGTCTGTCTGTCTGTCTGTTACTCTTCCTCTCACTCTCGAGTGTTCTTCGTCGTCACAAAGGATACCACGTTACTGAACGCGGCAAATACGGAGAGGAAAGGCTCCCCCCCCTCCCCCAGTAGGGCGAGAGAGGAGTTGAAATGTAGAGGAAATAGGGTTATGTGTTTATGTGGTGAGTAGTTATTGTTGAGGCAATGAAGGTCAGAAATGCTCTCGTTAACGGCTTTTCTCTTGAAAACCGCTCCACGTTTGGGTTGACAAAGTCTTAGAGCGCTTTCCATCATTGTATATACGGGCTCAAGCTGTATTGTTTCATTGGGCATTTTTATCGCTTTGCGGACGAATGCGCAGTGCAGTTTTCCTATATTTAGCTGCAGGACCGGGTTCCTGCTTCACCTTCTAGTGTATTTGAAGCATTAACATACGAGCCCTTTTCCAGGTTTCCCATTTACGAGGGGCGTTGTCCCTCCCTCCTGTATCGACTTCTAGTATGCTATTGGAGACTACTTTTTGTAGCTAGCCCGTTTTTTGTCAGGACTCTCGCGAGTCTAGATGTACCTGTCAGTTACCAAACAGTCAATATAAATATTCCTGTCTGCCCCAGTGTACGCAGTTAGCCCGACGGGTTGCACTGTCACACGCTTTTCATGTGTACACTTTTTGCAAGGGTGTTCGAGAGAGCCTTATGCCCTTCAGGGCTCTTTTTGCCCCATTTTGCGGTGACAACAAGTTAACTTCCACAATACAACTTCTTTGAGAATTACTGATTTAGTTGCCCGGTGACTTTGTGTTTATGAATCTACTTTAGCTCACACTGTACCGGCATGCACCAGAAAGTGTGGTTCGGTCTCTTTCCCTTTTTTTTTCCTTTCGCTTTCCTTTTAGTACCCTATAATTTAATAGGTATGTTTACTTATGCCTTGATCAAATAATTGCCAGTTTCCTTATGCCAATACACGTACCCTAGTAGACCACTGCACATTTCTACTACTCAGACTTTGAATTCATCTTAGAGTTTATTGGTTTCCTTTTCGTTACTCAATTAGTGACTTTCCACAATTTTAATTTTTCCCAGCCAGGACACCAGTACACTGCGCGCAGTACTATCTCTCTCTTCGATCCATTATCTCTACCACTCCGATTGTCCCTTCTCCTATCACATTTTTCGCTACATACACTAGTAAACCAATAGCACACTGCCAAGTCTTATTTAGACACCTAGACATATGGGCACATGGACGGATAGAGCTTTTTGGTGGGGAAATAAACTAAGCATTGAGCTGCCAGTATTTGTCAGTTCCCACCAAAACACAGCCCGTGATTTGCCGACAGCAACTGAAACACATTAACGAGTATCCATAAAGAATAACAGATGATTCTCTAAACTAGGGTTTTTTGATCTACTAATTCCCGTGTATGCTTTTAGCAGCACACATGGGTCGCTGTCTTGTTCTTGCCATACATTCTCGTTGCCCATGGGGTTTTTCTGTTTTTTCATCAATCTCCATTATCATATGATTTATTTAGATTTTTTTGTTTTCCCCTTTTTTCTTTCTCCTTTCGTTCTTTTTGACTTTTCCTTTTCCCCCCTTTCGTGTTTCCTCTCTTTTTTTTCCCGCCCTTTCGTTTGCACTGTCCGCGCTGCAGCCTGGCGAATATGGTGGCGGTAACGTTTTGGCTCTTTCTGTCCCTATTAGATTAAAACAGTGTTTACCACTGACGTGTGAGTGCTTTCACAGCTTGTGTATTATAAATTCAGGTTTGTAGTTATGAAGTCTGTAGTTATGAAGGCACCTCGCGGCATAGCACATGTCCAAACTCATAAAAGATATCAAATAGATGACGGGACACTTATCTGCCTCCTTATGATGAGGGACACTTGGTTTTCTTCTTCTGCATTCAATGCTAATTCTTACATTAAAAGTCTATCAAGCAACTTTAACTGTCAAAAATGGCGACCTTAGTAAGAGGTTTGAGCATCAAGTCGTGGGTCTTCTGCTTCTCATGGGTTTTTTCTACGACATATCGAGTTCTTTACCTTGTAGGAGCCCTGAGGTTATGGTCGGCGAGATTTTTGGTTTTCCCATATGTCCAATACACTAGTCTACATTAGGTATTCTGTGCCGCTCCTCCTTTTCCGTATGTGTTTTCTGCTCATGTGAGTGGCTTCGGCAAAGTTATAGGGACCAGAAATTTTCGAATGACAGTTCTTCCTCGCAGATACCATCTCTGATGTGTCCTGCTCCGGACTCCCTACATCTGACCGTGTCTCCGAAGATTTTTTCTCGTTTTTGTATATTGAGGTCACAAAGGTCGTCTATATGGAGTTCTTACCTTGATTGTGTTCCCAGGTTGTGCTGTGTGAGACCCTGGAAGGATTTTTAGAAATGATTGAGTTTCATGGCATTGTTAATTATATGCAGATCTATGATGGCGTTTTTTTTTTCGATTTTAGGATCATAATTACACATGTGTATCTTTATATTAACTTTGTTGTTATTAATCACTGTGATTCTCCTCGCGTATCTGTACAGTGCGTGTGCTGCATCGCAAATTTTCTTTTGTGTAGAGACGGTGTGCTTATTGGAGGCATTTTCAGATGTTCCCTTGTACACATGTATATACCTCACCTGTGAATCAACGTCTAGGCTGACGAAAATCTCCCATATTTGCCGGCTGAGCCCTGGGTCCAGTTTCGAGCAGAGAGAGGTTTTATCGGGGGAAGAGCAGGTGATGGACCAGATGACGGAGGAGAAGGGGGCAAACTCCCACCCGGGTACCTTTGTGAACACCCTGTGATAGTTTTGATATGGGATTTAATTATTAATACACAATCCAACTCTGTTTGTGCAAGACAAAGTTGCATGATAGACAATACAACAAAGTTGAATGAAATATGAAATAGAAAGCATTTCTCTTGCATGTATATAATAGGTTGCGTGGATGCATCATACCCATGCATTTGCAACTCTGTTCCACGTAACAAAGTTGCATTGTGGCCTGGAAATTGCACTTTATCAAAATGGGATTCAGTAACATTTTCTTGGGTTAGAGATTTCATGCCTCTTTTGTGGACATGCTCAGTTGGCAGAGGAGTCTGCAAAAGATTACCCCTGACTAATGGCGAAAATCATCCATATGTATGTGGCAGTTTTTTTTTCCAGGGAAATATATTCAGACACGCTTGGCATTATCTCTATTTTTTCTGGACTAGTCACAAGCATGAATTATGACGGGTTTACGCAGTCAAGAAGTTTTAGTAATTACAGACGCAAATTGAAATGCCTCCAAGTTCGATTATGGCGAGCTTTATTAGATTCGGAAGTAATGAGCGATAGTAGGCAGGCAGGTTTTTTTGTTTGCAGAGACGTTTACACAGGATAGAAAGCAACGCCTTGGACATCTGGCAACCTCTTTGTTGCCTAGGTATCCTTGTAAAAGATCCATTTTCAGTTCACTCCTGTTCACCCCTGCCTGAACTCAGGAGCCAGCATTGAAACAGTTAAATTATAAACCGCAGCAGATACAACTAGAGAAGTGATCGTTATCCTCATATTATGACACTGTATGAACCCTGCTCTCTGCAAATTGATAAGACTCTTGGCATTTACCAGCCTCTAACCTAAATCGTTTGTAAAACTCACCATTGCATGAACATTGGCATTGTTTCCCTCCACTAGAGGCACTAATGCACTTATAGCTGTCAAAACAGGCTTGATGGAGCAAGAAAAGCAGAGGGTATACTGCAGTATCTACGCGTCTCCAGCCAGCCATAAACCCGTTGTGTTTTGCACACACCTCCTCCCGGATCCCCTCAATGCACGCAAGAAACTGAACGAGCCACACCTCGCAATGTGCTCTACCTTTTCTGCGTGTGCAGGCGAAACTCCCCGAGGCTAGTGTTCCCCAGATAGAAAGACTCCACCTCGCTGTTAGGGACGGCCGTCTCCCACTTCTTGCCCGGCGGCCCCAGCTCCTCCAGAAGTTGCTGGAAGTAGTTCTCGTAGTGGCTCACTGTCGACTCGCCCATGAGACGATCCTTAGAGCGCAGGGCACCGTACGCGTACGTAAGGCAGTTCCGCACGATGTACTCTTTCGTAGAGGTCTCCATTGCTTCTAGCTGCTCTCCACACGGACCTGGAGAAACGAGGCGAAAGCCGTCAATTTCCTCTTTCGCCTCGCGTGACGTTGCTAGTCACTCCTGCGCATGCGCACTCCCAAGAATCCAGATTTATTTGCAGCGTGACGCTATATATCTGTGCACACAATGCCCAACATAGCTTTTTGCCTTAGCCGCAGATATTAGCTTTGGAAAGCACATCCAATGTCATAAATGCATGGCTCTTGTTTGCTCTGAGTCACAGTGATTGCCCTTCAATCAACACCCAAATGGCTTATTATGTTGTCATCAGAAAGCTCCATTTCTCAGAATGAAGGTGTATATATATAATAACTGGCATAATATGTACATTGCTGGACTACAAAACTAATGATGAGAGTTGTGCTGATGGTGAGGCTAGGGATGGTGGGCAGTGATCGCCGTCCTGCGTCGACTGAGCAAGTGCATCTGACACTTGTCAAACATGTGTTTTTAAGTGTCCCCTCAACTGCGCCTACGTCTGGCTGCTCGTACTGCGGACATCTCTTGCTATGGCGGAGTCTCTGGGCGCCCTTTTGCACTGCTAGGGTACGGCGCTCCGATCGGGGCGTTGTCTGCCGTAACGCCCTTTTTTTCGTCTCGAATTGCCGAGAAGTCTACGACCCCCCCCCCGGTACGCGACTTGAAAGTGCCGAAAGTACAATAAGTTGGGCCACGCACACACACGCTGAGCTGACTTGCGCCGGACCCCGCGGCCGGACTCGATCAAGACGTGTTAGCGACGTACACGCCATGCCCACATTACCACGTGTCTTGACGGCCCCGGAGTCATAAGGTGCACCAGATGGGCTCCCCGATAACACGTAACCATTTTGCTTTGAGGAATCATGCTAACCAGATTTCCATACGAACGGCAATACGTTAACGTAGATGGCACGGCGGACGTCTATGAGTATTTTAGCTGCCGTAGTTAAAGACAGCATTGGGCATGTCTGTCACGACTTTGAGAAGACGATAATTACAAAAGTTAGTCATTTAACTAGCTGCAGCTTCATTGACCGTCGCACACGCGTTCTTACATCTGCTGAGATGATTTACTTATGTTAGCTATGCAGCCTCGCCTTCTCCTCGCAGGTAAACTCTCACAGCGCAGTCTGTCTCTCCTCTCGGTGCACCTGCGTGCTGTTAGTCACCGTATATGCTGCGCTGCGCCTTATGCGCGTGTACTTCACTGATTCGTACCCTTACACGTGCATGCACCTGCTGTATACTGGAATCGACATGTCATCATGTAAGTCCTGACTGCACACGATCCCACTTTTAAACACAATCATGATCGCAGACCTTCGCACTCCGGTAAGCTAGATTTTAAACCTAGCTGATTCGTGGCTACTAGGCCACCGCACCATCCACCCCCGTAGAAATATGTCTGGAGGCC